TCGAATATTCTTAGAATATATACGTGCCTCTGGAACATTCAAGAAATATTCAAATGTGAATATTCTAGTAATATTCCAAAATGAATATACAGGGAATATTCCAGAAGGAATATTCTGAAGTGAATATTCCTAGAATACTCCAGTTGATACACTAGTTGGTTAAATAACCATTATCAATTCGACATTCTTCTTCATACCCATTAATTGTCATTAAACTCATTCATTTATTTTTCTTGAGTTCCTCCATGATAGAGTATTATTCAACAAACACATAATAATTAAGGTTATCATTTTCGAAGGTTAAGTTCATGGCAAGAGCGTAAAGCCCTTGATGTGAAGCTCATAATTTGCGAATAGAATAATATATATTATACAGTATGATGCAAATGTATGGAATAAATTCATTTCAAACAAGGCGACTTCCGAAAAAAATCCAAAAAGTAGAGTTCAGAACTTTTTCATCGATGTATTTTTTCAACTAGACGACCCTTCGATGTTCAATTCTCAGAAGAAGATCTCTGCAAGATTCAGTTAACCAAATGATGATCCATTTTAATTTCAATCTTCTTTTGCAAAATTTTGACTATTGGATAGACAATCAGTAGACCTTTCAAACGAGGTGTCACATGACCCCTGTTTGTATTTAATAAAACCGTCCATTACGTCATTACTCCAACACCGGTGACGTAACATCTCTCATATGAATGTCATGAGATGAGGTTTCAAAAATTAAAACTCACGTGTTTTTGGAATTTCTTCAAATGTCGCCCATTTCTGAAATAATGAATTTATTCCATACATTTGCATCATACGTATACTTCACCCACGACTGTATAAAATATTCATAATCATAATTCAATCGAGATGTGTCCCGGCGTCTTCGCCAAAACTTCGAATCTTCAATCCTAAAAACAATGACAAGAGTCAGTAATCTTGGTAATCCCTCTAATAGGGCTCCTGCCCCTGTGAATAATTTTGTCCATGAATGTTATCATCATTGATATATGAATACAATTCAAACAGCTGTTTTATTATTACTTTTTTGACATCAAAAAGACTGAAATTTTAAGATAGGTACTTGCTATATCGGGTACCCTATAGGAATTCTAGACCAGTGAATAATGATTATTCACCGCGATCATCCACTGGTGTGAAAATTGGCTATCGTTTTGATTGAGGAAGTACATGTATCATGAATATTTTATACAACAGACGTGGATAAACATGTATGGCTCTTGGGATCTCTGAATATTATTATTATTATCATTTTCAACCTTGTTATGAGATAGCAAGCACGAAATTGATGTTGCTGAGATAGCAAGAAAACTAACAAGATGTCATAGAAATTGACAGATCCTAATTGCCTAACATCGATCATGAGCATTCCATCTTTTCTACAACCATATATTGTTATTTCCAAAAATAGTGGGAGAGCCGACTGTTAATTTGGACCGTCATATGATAACGGAATGTTATATATTTCAAAGGCATTTGAAAATATTGTATTTTATCCAACGGCACCTGTGCCAATCACTTCACTTTCCTGTGCGTTAATTTGCACTCAATTTCGTTATTTGATAACGAGATAAGAAATATGCCATTCGATATTGATTGAATGGTAGATCTCAAAAACCTTCATGTGCCACCCCATGATCTGAGCCGAATCCACGCGGCACAGCGATTCATTTACTGGCGTTATTCCGGACATATTTCCGTCATGTGATAGCTAGTTGAAACAAAAAGCAATTGAAAAGTGATGATGCCCCCTTTTGCGAATATCCAAAATACCGCGATTCAAAGTGAGCTAAGTAAGTGGCAGAGCGTCAATATTATCCTTGATATCCGATGGACCAGTGTGAAACCCATGTGGTGCTCGCACTACAAAAGTAATTCACATGTTGAGTTTTACACAGGTCCATCGGATATTATCTTTCGGGAGTGGTGAAATAATTCCGTAAATAATGACGCTGTTACTAACTTAGCTTAGTTCAAATCGCGGCACGTTTGGATAGTCTCAAACGGAACATTATTCCCTTCCATTTGTTTCTTGTTTCAACTCGTTATCACATGACAGGAGTATTTTCGGAATAAGAGCATACGGAGAAAAAAATCACTAACCCTTCGTGGATATTCAATAGTGCCAAGTAAAAACTTGTATACTATTCGATACAAGAAAACAAGTTGAGTACCTACCACAAAAATATTTGTGATTGATAACCCTTTGTGAACACAGCACTCGTCATTAGTAAGTCATTCACTTGTCATTAGTGACTCAATCACTTGTCATTAGTGACTCATTCACTTATCGTTAATATCGTATTCATTTGCGATTAGTAACTCATTCATTTGTCATTAGTGACCTAATCACATGTCATTGGTGCCTCGCTCATTTGTCATCAGTGACTTATTCACTTGTCATTAGTGCCTTATTATTTACTTGACATTAGCTAGGTATTACAAAAAATTTTATACATCGTTCTCGGAATGATGATAACCTTGGTAGAAAGATTAAAACTCATGCATTTGCAACATATATTGTATAGCTATGATAAATCATCGAGAAATCACAAAAATGTTAGAATGGCGATAAAATATTGAGGCACTAGATACCTGGTATATCAGGATCATGCGCCGAGAAAAACGGTCCATCAGATGCATACACTTTTCATACTCATTAAACGTCACTTCCTCCCACTTCGAGTATCATCAGATGTGGAAAAAAATCCTATATATGATGTCAACTATTTATGTTTTGTTCTGGGAGAGTAATGTATTTTATTATCTTCTTCTAAAGAATGACAGATCATCAAGAACTCAACGCCCCACGGCACACAAACTGAGAATTTTCACGAATATGATATAGCACTTGTTCAGAAAGGCATGATCATGATCCGTGGAAAATGGAAGTGGTCGCGTTGAGCGTGGGCACCCGAATAATAGATCGGATATGTCCGAACTGAGAAGAGATGTATAACCACAGGTCAGCTGTCACTTGCACCAATCGACTTGATAGATTGTATTCATCGATGAGTTCGCTCTGAGCAAGTGATGTTGTCTCAGAAGAATACTTTAATAATGGTGAGTATTCATTAACCCAGCACTAGTTTAGTGTTCACTTATAATCAGCATCCTCAAAATACATATCGATTTGTTTAATACCAACAAGTGTCCTGATCACTTACAGCAGAAACATTGTTTCAGAAATATTGTTTTGCCTACTTCAAGTACCCTATTTTCCTACACTGAGAAAACTCGGCCAAGTAAATTGTTTTCTTGAAAAAAAGTCGATTGTGACAAGAACATTTTCACCAACGGTAGGAAAATATGGTACTTGCAGTAGGCAAAACTATATTTCTGGAACGAAGTTTCTGCAGTAAGTGATCAGAACACTTGTTGGTATCAACCAAGTCGATATGTACTCAGAGTTCGCTAATTCTAAGTGAACACTAAACTATAGTGCTAGCTTAACGAATACTCACTATAATTAAATTATTTTTTTGACATAAGATCACTTGCTCTGAGCGAACTCATCAATAAAGACAATCTATCAAGTCGATTGTTGCAGGTGACAGCTCACCTGTAGTTATAGATCTCTTTTCCGTTCGGACATCTCCGATATTATTCGAGTACCCACGCCCTACGCGATCACTGTCCAGTGTCCACGAGTCCACGGCGTCATTTCGATCTTAGCATTCGTGAAGTTTGTATACTTGCGTTCCCACTAGTAACATTGAAATTCGAAGTCATGCAAGTGCCCTTCCGAACAACTACTATATCATATTCGTATGAGAATTCTCTGTTTGTGTGCCGTGCTCTGTGGCCGTACTCTGAGCTGTGGGGTGTTGTGTTCTTGATATGTTCTCTTGAAGGAGATAATGAAATACAAAACTCTTCTAGAACAGTACATAATTGTTTCTACATATATACAGGATTTTTTTCCACTTCCTATGATACTCGAAGTGGAAGGAAGTGACGTTTAAAAAGTATGAAAGTTGATTCATCTTCAATGCTGGAAAGGAAAAGATAGTGAACCAGAGTGCAGTGCAGTGAGTGGGAGTACCGTTTTTCTCGGTGCATGATGCTGATATACGCGGTATCTAGTATCTCAATATTTGTCGTCAGCCTTACCTTTTTTGTATCTTCTGGATTCATCATACCTATATAATAAAATGTTTTGAATGCATGTGTTTTTGTCTTATTACCAAGGTTTTATCATTTTTCAGAGAGCAATGGAGGTATTTTTTCATACTAGCTAATGACAGGTGAATAAGTCACTATTGACAAGTAAATAAGTCACTGATGACAAGTAGATAAGTCACTAATGACATGTAATTAGGTCACTAATGACTAGTGAACAAGTCACTAATGAAAAGTGAATGAGTCACTAATGACAATTGAATAGGTCACTGATGACAAGTGATGTGTTCACTAACCGTTATCACTCTGAAATTTAATGAAATAGGTCAATAGTGGTAGGTGTACATTTTCAGGAACAAATATTCTTGTGGTTATTAACTTGTTTCCTTGTCCCAAATAGTATACAAGTTTTTACTTGCCACTATTAAATATTTACTTAGGGTTAGTGATTTTTTTCTCCGTGTACCATTGGTGAAAATGTTCTTGTCACAATCGACTTTTTTTTTCAAGAAAACGAGTTTTCTCAGAGCACCAAATAAATCGTCGTGCCGTGAATTTGGCTCAGATTAAGGGGTGCCACAGGTAGATTTTTGAGATCTACCATTCAATTGGTATCGGATGGCATATTTCTCGTCTCGTTATCAAATTGCAAAATTTAGTGCAAATCAACGCACACGAGAGTGCAATTTTCCAATCATTTTGCTCAGGATAGTGATTAGCACAGGAGAGCCGTTCGATAAGAAACAATGTTTTCACATGCCTTCAGGACATTTATCATTTCGTTATCAGATGACGATAGAAATTTGCAGCCGGCTCTTGGACTAATAGAATCGTCCCGATTGTGCAAGAAAAAGTACATCGTAAAAAAATAAAATATTTTATATTCTTAGATTCTCTGCCTTACAACGTGATCGAACAGGATGACCAATTCGTACATGTTAGTATATACCCTTTTTCTAGTTGTATTCGCTCCTGGCTCCGATCCTGGGGCTGGGTTGATGATTTTCCTGTCGAATCTGTTCTGGAAGATGAGTCCTTTCGAGGTGTCCTGCTGGACCTTGTAGTTCAGAGAATCATTGGATACCACTTTCCCAGACCTCCAGTGGTAGTAGCCAAGGTCTGTGATTTTCGGCAGGATTTTTTTCTTACCTGAAGGTCCATGAATTAGAATTCATTATATCTCTAAGTGTCAGACTTGAAGGGCATGTTTTCCCTTTCTGGCCATAATGTTATGATGGTAGTCAAGAATGTGAAAACTTCACAAACGATAAGATTTCCACAAAATTCTCAAACACACGACATGTTTCGCTAACACAGTAGCTTAGTTAGGTGATATACTGGTACAATGAACTTCGTTGTGAAGGATTAGTTACCTGTGGACAAGTACGATAAACCTCCATTTTCGGAAATCAGGCACAATATCTATACATTCAGATACGGTATACCGGATTAACTCAAAAGAGTTGATAGCAAATACATATTATTACTTACTAAGAAAACAAATTCAACAGTGGTGAACTATTGAGATCTAATTGATCATTAAGTGAAATGTCCAAATTTTTTAGTTTGTTGATTTCTAATGATTCAAAATGATTGAGTTTCAGTCCTTTCTTTTCAACGTGTAGAATTTCGAAATTATCATCAGAAATATGGTTTTCTTCTAATATATGGTTGGCGTATTTTGAATTTCTTTTCTTTTTCATAAAATTCATCTTATGTTCATGAATGCGCTGATTGAACGTACGACCTGTCTGACCGATATATACCTTAGGACAAGATCCACAGTTGAGTTTGTATACCTCTGATTTTTCGAATTAAGAAATTTTGTCTTTATTATTCTTCCATATTTATATTCATTTATTGTACGGGTAACCCCCATTATAATAAATCTATGTAGTCACTAAAAGAGTTTAACTAATTGATAATTATAGTATACATTATAAATATGAAAATAGATGGAAAAATGACTCCATCATTGGAAATTATATACCAAAATGCCCATATCTATTGATTATACAAATTGAAACTTATATTATGTGATAATGATCCTCATAATGTTCTCAACACCGTAATTTTGGATGCAGTAGGAGTTATGTCTGTTATCTCTATATTTTTCTCATTCACCAATCTGAGTCTTCTTGATGAACCGTCCCGACGTGTTATTCGTTCTATATATGCCCCTTTTAAGTCCTGTTCATGCAGAAATGAAGCTAATTTCTCAGTTGATGATCCGGAATAGGTTATATAAAGTTCTATAATTTCGATTATTATTCTTGATGGTATAATAAACTTCTTGGTTAGCTTTATGATGAAGTTTTTAAGAAAGAATACTGTCTATCAAATTAACGTTTTAGCCATTGTTGACTGCAATCTGTTTCATGATATTCAGTTCTTCATTGAAATTTACTTCCGAAAGAGGGACATTTACTAGCCTGTGTATCATACTATATGCTGCAATTTTATGTTGATAAGGGTGTGTTGAATTATCATGAATAGTGATATCAGTGTGGGAAGGTTTATTGAAAATTGAAGAATCATGTTCATCGTTGATTTTACTCATTGTCAAATCTAAGAAATTGATTGAATTATCTGTCTTTATTTCTATTGTGAATTTTATGTTTGCATGGATGAATAGTATTTATATATTGATGAAAAGTGTCTAATTGTCTATTGGTTCCGTTAAAGCATACTATAACGTCATCTACGTATCTATACCAAAACAAACATTGTTTTTATCAATGAATGTTTATGTATTATTCGCTCAAAGTTGTCCATGACGATTTCAGCAGGTAAAGGGCTCAGTGGATTTCCCATAATCAACCCTTCTGACGCGGAATATATTTTGTTGTCAAATTGAAAGTGATTCTGTTTGACAGACATATCGACAGAAGGTCTAAGATCTCTTGTTTGATAATCGGATTAACATGGTTTTTATCTAATAACTGCTCAACTAAGAGTATGGTATCTTTGGGAGGTATACTTGGAATAAGGTTTTGTAGATCACAAACGCTTATTAGAGTTACCAAATTTTCAGGATAATCCAATGTACCGTTTTCCGTATACGTCTAAGGTACCATTGACCGTGGGCCACCCTGTATACCTTGAACCTCCGGACTGGTATAGTAAGAATTATCCTTTCGTACTTATCTTTTTCACATAACTACGGAACGGCTGAACCGATTGGGCTAAAATTTCATATGGCTATTACGATGGTTTCCTAGATGATTCAAAAATATATTCGGACGCGGTAGATGGAGCTGCTGTCGGTACGTCAACAGCTACACTGCTTGACCGAATGGGTTGAAATTTTTTATACGTAAAACAAAAAAAAAAGATACAAAAGATACTGAGAGAATGGAAATAGGTGTGAGTATATAATAGTAGCTATAGGTAAGCACAAAAAGAACTGAAAAATAACAAAAAAATATGTACTGTAGATGGGCGCATAGCTCAGAACGGCTGCAACAAATGTCTTATTTTTTTTAATGGATACACCAACCGTGCGAAGTCGGACCGGACAGCTATAGTGGGTTAATATAGACGATGAATCAGAAAAAAATCACCATTCTCATTCCAAAGTCATATTTTTGAAATACTCTCACTGGCAAAAAAAGCGGCCACCAAAAAATTTGCCCAAATTGTTCATCCTGTAACTTTTTCAATCCTAGTCCAATTTTAGTGAAATCTCGATCAAATCGTACATTCATGTCCCGGAATGTTAGCCTGAATATTTGTTTCCGTGAAAAGCAGATGACTTAATCATTATACAGGAAAAAGCCAAAGTTACTCTTTCACCTTTTAATTCTCAACACCCTGCGGCAAAATTGGGTGGTTGAACTTGGCTTCGCTATGCTTCAAATTGAAGTGTGATCTCTTCTCAGCACAATAGTATTTGATTCACGTAAATATCTTATTTTTAAGGGAAGATACGAGTGTTTCAAGGAAGTATAGCATTTTTCAATTTATATTGACAATAATCACAGCCTTCATAAACCTATTGTTGGAGAATTATTATATCTTATTTCTGACTCATTTTCTCAACACTTACTGGCAAATATCTTAATTACAAAAAAGAAACAGAAAGTAGAGCTGTAGGTAATAACGAGTATGCCTTCCTCAAGTTTGAATTTTGTTTTTCCCTGTATAAATGATCAAGCCATCAGCTTTTGCCAAAATCTAATAGTAAGGATAATATTCCATAACATGAATATACGATTTGGTCGAAATTGCTCCAAAATCGGACAAGAATTGAAAAAGTTACAGGGCGAACATTTTGGCTAATTTTTTGGTGGCTGTTTTTTTCTGCCGGTGAGTGTAATTTTTATTTTTCTGAAAACAACTGGAAATCTCTTTGAAAAATGTGGTACTTTCTCACCTCTGAAAAATGGTTTCCAGTCCTCGCTGACCAATTTCTCTCCATAATCAATGTATCCTGATATCTCGAACCCGGCTTTCGTATAATACTTCAAGAATATTATAGTAGAAAGTATACCGACTCTGTTGGACCTCTCTCTCAAAGCTAGATCTTGGTGCAACCCATCCCCCGTGATCATCCCTTCACTGGATAACTCGTAGGGCTTGTAAGGCGGATAGATGTACAGATACACAGCTGCCAACCTGTCAGTAGGAATTCGAAGCAGCATGTTTACTTTATTTTCATTGAGTCACATTTGTTTGTGCTTATTGGTCATATCATCGAAACAAACCGCTCAGAGTTCATGTTATTACCGTCAGGTATGGAGTGACGTGTTATTTTCGATCGCGATTCAGTAGCGCAGACTAGAGGTTTGACAAGGAAAAATTTATCGGACTCCTCTATATTTCAATGCGACCAGCTTGGTAGCATTGAAGAGAAAGATGGAAGAGGAGAGAACTTTCCTTTCTCTCGTTGAAGGTAGATAAGAGATCAATTGAAATCCTGCTTCGATATGCTTTATCCAATATCGAGTTTATATTTGTTCACAAGATTGAAAGCTTTGATGCCAACTTATAGATACCGCTTCTATATAATTTTCATCAGTAAATTCGATATTGAACCATCCCAGTTAAGACAGGATATCTTATGGATATCCATTACAAGTCCTATTCAAGGCGGGATATCCGTGGACATAAAATGTATATCCATAAGATATCCGATTACGGATGTACTTGAGATATCCGAAACAAACGTCCTGAATACGTCCATAGGATATCCGTCAGATACAGAGACAAAAGATCAATACCTAGAAACTTCGAATCAAGTATATACAATGAATGAAATGATAAATAAATGAAGAGATTCACAAAAGCAACACTTATTGTGCGTGGGTCTTCCAAAAGATAGCAAACATTGTGATGCACTATCTGCTATTATTATTGATTCGGTTTTCAAAAACAGCGCGAGGTGGCGTAACGTCTCAAATAGTCCAAGATTGATGGTAGAACTGATGATTATACATAGATCATCGATTCTACCAACCTGGGAATAGTCAAATAATGTCAATCTGTTCTCATATTTTATTAATTTGAAGTGAATTTGAAAGTGATTCCTACGAATTTGTCCAAAATTGATGATGCATAAGAACTGACAACTTTACATTATTCGAACGCAGTGAGACGTGAGTGCTTTTCCCAATTTTTGTGTTTTTTTAGGATAGGGTTTACTATCTCTTATCCATATCCATAGTTGATATCTTATGTATATCCATAATGAATATCTTCAAGACATCCAAAAAGGTCACACTGTCACATCCTATGGACGTCCATAGGATATACCAGAGCCTTTTTTGATATCTTATGGACATCCACAATGGATATCCATAGTATATCCATAAGATGTACTTGTGCTATCTGGGATTATATTGGCCACAATCAGAATGTGATTATTCTGCAATATTATCTGTACGTTGAATTATAATATTCAATCAATATTGCATTCCGTTTTTGCTACAAAATTCAAATTCAGAATCGATGCCAAATTAGCCTCATTGAGAAAATAGCGATATTGGTACAATATTATTACACAAGCATAATGTATCGGATCAGTTTTTGTTTTCTGTATCCCAAAATACCAAGTTGAATGAATGCTGTGGTATTTGATGCCTCTGAGCAGTCGTTTTGTTGTAGACGTGCTAGTGGCGCCAGCTGTTATCGAATAAAATATTACTAATATTGGTTTTGACATATCTCATCAGTTATATCGATCTGAAATTGGTCTCATATTGATAAACTAAAATTGGTTAAATGAAGAATACAAATATGGAAACAATATTCGTATCAAATATCATGCAATCTTTAATAATCACCAACATAATATAAGATAAATGATATTTTGATAATATTGACTCGATATTGAAATAAATCCAAAAATGATATTATGATTTCATATCATTTTCATTGATATTATACAGACAAATCAGTGTAATACTGTAAGAAAATGAAATACAATATTCACTAACCATCATAAATCTGATATTGATGCAATATTTCTTTCGAAGTGATTCGAAATGGGGGAGACCACTGATTTTTTTAAACGACATTATCGTGAACTCTATACTGATAAACTACACTTCCAGTGAATTAATTTTGAATTTTTTCAATCATGCTAAGACGATGAAAAAATAAATTAGAATTTGTCCATTTCAAAACACATAATTCCTGCGCCATTTGAAATATTGTCAATTCATTGGTGAGACTGGTGCGACGTCTTAGTCCCAACACGCCTATTGTCCTTGAACTCACCAATCACACTGCAACACTGCAGAATGACGAGGTATCAGAGAGAGATAGCTACAGTGCGGGACTAATACGTCACGGCTCCACCATCATATTTGGCTTTTCGAAATAACGAATGAAATATGGTGATTTCAAAACGATATAGATTCGATTCCCTTCAACTCCAACTCATAATATTGATTGTAGATCAAACGTAAATCATGATTCGTCGATTGAAAGAGGTTTGCACGGATTTCTTTCCTCAGTGGTCTTCCCCATTGGAAATACATTATCACTCCATCATGAAAATGGACATATTGTAATCGTTAATATTTCGACAATATCAAAATATATATTGGCAAATAAACATCCGCTGATCACAAAATGTTAATGTTATCACATTGTTGTTGGCACTGATGGATTGATTATCGAATATCGAAATGAAAAATTGATTGGGCCAATGTGAAACCAAGTTCTAGCGATTATGATTTTCTGCCTGGGAGGGTAGTAATTGATTATTGCACTTCAAAATTTTTTATTATCGATATCGAGCATTTTCTCGCAACTCATATGGGCCTCCTACAAATCAGACGTTGCTTCCACCACAAGTGGCAACTCAAGAGAACCTATAATACTCGCTTGGCTATTTGCATGCACATAAAAAAAAAATCATTTTGAAATGAAGATATTATTTTTTCGACAACAAACAATTTATTGGATCAAGAAAACATGAAATTGTGTCAAAAACGAGAATAGGCAAGAACAAACATGAGTGAAACGACTAAAACAAGAGAATCGTTTTTCAGTTTATGAAGGAAGCAGCAAAAACCAAAGTAGAGGAGATGTCATATGATCAAAGTAGCATATAGTGCCTCTTCGAAAGTAGAGAGTCAACCACCTGAAAATTATATCTTGAATTTTCTGAAAATAGAGTCAGAGGAAACTAACCGAATCGGACGTAGCATGGCAGTCATGGGACTCTCGAAATGTTCAAGAATAAATGAGGTTAGGTTGGGTTACGTTTAAACGTGAATGGGCCCATGTCCGCAGTCCCCTCCACTGCGGCCAATGGCCTATTGTGGCTCACCCTATGCGGTTATATTTCTCCCAGAATATCTAATCTCTTGGCAAAATTAAGGAGTACGTTGGGAGAGCAATTCATCAGGTTTTCTGGCCCAACTATTGTATTGCCAAATGTTGAAAATCTGATTCTGGCCGCTGCAGGGCATGTACATAAAATGTGTTTAGCCGTTTCACCTTCCTCCATGCATAGACGGCACTCTGCATCTTGTGCAAGTCCGATTTTGTGCATGTGGTGTTTGAGTTTGCAGTGGCCAGTGAGCAAACCTACTTTAACTCTGAGATGTGCTCTCTGTGTTTGTTCCTTGTACAAGCAATGAACGGCATTTTACCTGACTTCATGAACATTTATGATACGTCGCAGGCGCACATTGATCGGATCGATTCGTGTTTAGAAGTCCTGTCATTACATGAATGATACAATAGAAGGTTCAGAGGTGGTAAACATTGCATAATGAGAATATCATCGAGAAGAGGGAGACCGATGATACTGTTCAAATAACTGATGCACTTCTAATAGACGTTTTTTTTCTTTCTCTGCTTACCATTGTACTATCTAAGTAGCTACTGGACTGTACTATAGCATCATAACCCCAATGAATAACCAACACTGAACGAAAAAGAATTAGAATACAGAATAATAGTTCATTCAGTTGGTAGAGCGTATATCTACCGCCTCAATACCTCGCTTACGAACGTCTTCCATACAGGGTGGCCCATCGAAAACTAGACATGAGGGGTTTTGGGTACTAATATGGTAGATCTGGAAAAAGGCTCGGACAGGTCGATTTTAGTTTCGAGGGGGACATTGTGTCCTCTTACATGCAGCACCGTCACGTCAACCCTTGAGCAGGGGGGTAAACAATTAACCCTTGAAATTTGAATAGGGAATAGGAGTCGAGTGGCACATCGTTTGAAAGCCCGTTGAATTCTCGAAACAACGGTCATCAGTTTTCCAACCAGAATGAGCCATAATTAAGTTAAGAGTGAAATTCACTCACCTTCCATGCAATGATAGAGATTTAGTTGGAAACGTTCTCTCTGCTAGTGATGCTGGTGGTGTACTATAAATTCTGCTTTTCAAATGACCCCACACAAAGAAATCTAAGGGAGACAGGTCTGGTGATTTTGAGGGCCATTCTATAGAACGTCGCCCACCAATCCAATGACCAGGGAAGTGTTGATCTAAATATCGTCGAACAGGCATATTATAATGCGGAGAAGCACCATCTTGTTGAAATATTAACTGATCTTCCAGATAATGATGGTCATTTTCAATAATATTCGTTAACATTGGATCAATTGTGTCTTCAAGCAGTTCCATATACATTTCCCCTTCTATTTCCTTCTAAAAAGAAAGGACCCACGATACGATCCCCAAAAATACCAGCGCATGCGTTTAATTTTTAGTGATTTTGCGTATGTACCTCATATAGGGATTAGAATCAGCCCAATATCGACGAATATGGCGATTAATTATGCCATTTGAAAAAAAAACGAATATTTATCACTGACACAAATGTTGAACAGACACTGATGAGGATTTGCAATCGCCTGCTCACTTAGTACTTCACAGAATTGTAAACGTAAACGCCGATCAAAATCATCTTCATTCAGTTCTTGTGTTAATTTAATTTTGTAAGGATGGAATTTATGTAGTTTTAAAATACGCTGAATGCTAGTTCTTGAGATAAAGGAAACAGTTGCTAGCTGTCTTGTACTCAACGTATGGTCAACCTCAACTTGGCCCACAATTGCCACTGTTGTCGCCTCATTTCTCACTGGCGGTTCGATTTGTCGTTTTTTATTTGCTACAGATCCCGTTTCTCGAAGTTTTAGTACTAATTTAGACATATACTGCCGCGACACAGCAGCCCTTTTCACACATCTACTGTTTACATAATACAGTTCAATCAACTCAACCCTCTCTGCCACTGTATACACCATTGTTTCGTTTTGATTTAGACGTACGATAGCACATACGAATGGAAATCACTTGTAGTACACACGTGAAAAACAGAAACTGCATGCTCTATCTGTTTTTTCTATTTTATTACAATATTTTCATGGGTAAAGTACCGCGAAAAAAACTGAGCAAAAACTTTCACAGTATCGTTGCAAATGAATGATAGATTGCAAAAACTTGCAAATTAGTGTTTCAGAGACGTACAAGTAAGCTCTTAACTATCGTACAGGTTTATTCCTGAATTTATTTTTTCCCAAACGGTTCATCCCAACTTCAAAATTGGGACACCGTTGGATAGAGAACTTAACGGGCTTTCAAAAGATGTGCCACTCCACCATTATTTCCCATTCAAATTTTAGGGGTTGTTCACCCCACAGCTCGAGTTTTGCAGCACCGGTAGTGCATGAAGGAGAAAGAAATGTCCCTCTCGAAACTAAAATCGACCTGTCCGAGGGTTTTTCCACATCTGCGATATTATCACCGATAAAACCCCGATGTCAAGTTTTCGATTGGGCACCCTGTATAATTATTCTCTGCTGAGATACCTTCGGTACCCAAGTTTCACAATCTGTCTGGATATCTGGAGAAGGTTTGGAAATAGTGAAAACATTGATGAAAGAACTGATGAATAGGTATGCAATCATGGATTCCTGTAAATTATGTAGTAGGATGGAATTGAATAGCCAGACGAATACCCTTTTAATGAACCAGAACCTTTTCATTCCATATTGATAGAAAAGCTATCGTATATGAAACAAAGTGAACAAAAAAAGCATCGGCAGCTGGAAGGATATCTGAGGATGCTTGCCTGAGAGGAAAAAGAAAACAAAGTCTGTAAAGAGAAGGAAACATTATGTGGAAGTCGTATATTTTGAGGAGCTCCATAGACATACTCACAAAAAGAGTTGTCATAAAGTACCCAAAGGTGAACCATACTAATTTTTTTACAACCGTACCTAAATATCCCTGAAGAAGCTGCTTTTCCAATAATAATAACCAAACCTGACATAGCAAGGAAAATGAGAAAAACGAATCTCTTGAGAGGTATAGTATATCTACACTCTACATACCTCTTCTCGAATTGTTCCCTGCTGAGGGTCTCCCCTGAACTTCGGTACCCTAGTTCCGCTATCTGTCTGGACACTTCGATGCTCTCCAGATAGCACTGATCTTGATTAGTGCCCAACGAGTCCAGATAGTCTTCATATGAGCTGAACTGCAACAGACGTCGGTCAGCTTCTATTTGAGGGGATGCCTTCAGGTGGATGCGAGCCATTTGGTTCGGGATTCGTTTGAGACCTTTCCGGAATCAAAGCGATGAAGTCTGATTCATCGAATGGTGGGTGAATGTGATGAAAATTGCGATTTTCAAGACAAAGAAAGAATTATGATGATAGGCGAAATGTCATTACTGACATTAGGCTTTTGCGAAAAACTAATCGGATTGACACGTTCCCTAACGTTCGTTTCACCTACCAACCCCAGAGCAGGGTCATTAGGGTCGTTCCAGAATTTGACAAGTTTCCATTTCGCGATTTTTGAGGATGAATCCATTTTTTGAGGGGATTCTGTTCAGGAATCTTGTACTCTTTTATAGCGGACTGCATTGGTAAAACTGGTTCGCACTGAGTGCATATTTTGTATTGCATTGGTAAAACTAGTGATAGATTTTGAATTCCATTGGAAAACTGGTTTACTCAGTCTAGAGCTTAGTGCAACAATTTTTTTATGTTCTGGTTCCCACGAAAAGGGATATCCTGCAATGTTCAGAGAACATTGTGAGAACCAAGGGAAATAAGGTTGGAATTGGTGTTCTTCTTGAATTTCTGGAGGTGATATGCCTCGGGGAACACCTTCCTTGGCAATGTGTTCCAGAGCCTCACTGTTCGTTGGATGAACGAGTCTTTGAAAAGAAATAATCTGCAGGTCTCCAAAGTGACCGACCACGAAGGGGTGCGAAGCCACAACTCGACGGGTTAATCTCGCGGGCACTGCCAAGGGAAGAAAAATGGTTGATATTTCAGTAGAGCATCGTCCATGAAAATATCTATGAAATAGAGCCAGATCTCCAACTTTTCTAAGGTGTTCCAGAGAAGTGAGTGAGTTTGTGAGCGAGGCATTACTGTTGGATAGAATCCAACAGTTTCAGGGTATGTTTGGGTGCTGCACTCCAAATATGGAAACAGTATTCCAGGACAGGTCGGATCTGTGCCTTTTTGGGATGCACTTTTAGCAATTGATTTCACGTGATTTTCCCAAGAAAGGTTATTGCTGATGGTGATACCAAGCATCGAAATCGATGTCTCCAAGGGTATGGTTACTCCTGACATGCTTATGTTGGGCATAGTGAGATCGGCTTCTTTAGAGGAAATATATGCTTGTGTTTTTTTTTGCATTGTTTTCCAAGTTATTGGATTCCCGTTCGGGAATTGTTGCCAAGTTTATATTTATGTTGTCAACATCTCTTCCTCGTTCGTTTCTGATTTGCCTGGCTGGTATTGGAGCACTGGAAGAGAAGGCGGTATGAAAAGTTCTATCGTCTTCGAAGCAAATCGTTGGTATGGAGTAGAAATAGTGTTGGTGCTAGAATTGATCCTTGCGGAACACCAGCATTTATGATAAGAGAGTCAGATGAAAGTCTGTCGACCAGTACATGGAGAGACCTGTTTGAGAGAAAACTAACTGATAGAGAACGTAGCTGGGGAGGCAAGCCATAAGATGAAAGCTTGGTGAGAAGTTCGTGGTGCCACACTCGATCGAATGCCTTGGAGATATCGAGTGCCACTGCTAAGGTTTCACCATATTTTTCAATAGATTGCTGCCATATATGTGAGATTTAAGCGAGCAGGTCAGTTGATCACTGATGACGGAAGCCATATTGCCTATCGTTGATAATACCTGAATGTTCCAGGTATTTCATGAGCTCGATGTTGATAGCTTTCTCCATGATCTTTGAAATAATAGATAGCAGTGCGATCGGTCTATATAGTTGCTAGGTAGGGTTTTTCTGCCTTTTTCAGGAACTGGTTGTATTCTTGCAATTTTCCAGTTGGACGGAAATATCCCCAATTTGTAAGAGTAGTTGAGCACATTTCTTGAGGACAATCGGTGGGATTCTGTCGGAGCCAGAAGCTTTGTTGTTATTGAGACCCAATAAAATCTTCCTTATAGTACGTTGGCGAAAGGTGATCTCGGGCATATGACTGTCAATTGGTATCATGTGTGGAGGTTGTTTTCCCGATGAATCCAGAGTATAATTTCCAGTAAATAAATGAGCAAAAATGTTGGCATTCTCCTGGACAGTTGTGACTAGTTTTCAATCTTCCTTGGTTAGAGGAGGAAACGAGCTGGAAGTGAAGTTTCTTTCTACAGCTTTGGCGAAGGACCGAAATTAACGGGATCCGTTTGGATATTCAACAAGTTTCGATCTTATTCTGGCATTATGAGCATTTTGATGATCGAATTGTCTCATTGCATATGCCTCTAGCCTCGACATATTCTGCTCTAGTCTCAGGGCCTGGATTTTTCTGCCATCGATGGAATGCTGGCTGTTTGGAAGCGACAGCTCTAGAGCAGTTTCTACTGAGCCAGGTCTTATCTGAAGATGTTCTTCTTGCAGTGTTCGGTATGTAGGTTTGCATCCCCAACATGTTGATTTCAGAAATTGTCCCAGCACATCGTGTTGGATCTGCTGAGGAGAAACAAACTTTCTTCCATGGAAACGCTGAAAGAAATATACGAATACCTTTCCAGTAGGCTGTATCGTTATGCCACATGAGACGGGTAGGAATTGTGGTGCTGGATGGTACATGGAAAGAGCAGGCTGTGGAGATGAGGGTGTGGTCAGAGTTTCCAAGTGGGGCACAAACTTCTATTCCATATGGACCAGGATTGCTGGTGAGAAAAAGATCTAGTGTATTGGCAGACTAGTTGTTGACATCTGGAATGCGGGTTGGTAGTTCGACTAGTTGTTCCAGACCATGCATGAGTGATGGCGAAGAGGCCTCAGTTTGACGACCTGCATCATTTGTTTTGTCAGAGAATTTGAGTCAGGCTGCGTTGTGTACATTGAAGTCTCCCATGATTATGATTTCAGTTGTTGGATGATTCTCCTGGATGAAGTTCAGTTTGAGTGATAAAAACTCAAAGACGTTGTTATATTTATTTTTCTACTCACATAGCTAAAATGGCATTTAGCGTACGGATATGTACCACGCTAAAAGATCTATTAATCACGGATTGTCGATCTGTGATTCATTCAAAATTTTAAACACGTTACCATAGCAACACGATTTCTTAAACACATCACCATGGCAACGCAGTTCATTAAACACAGCTTCAGTAATTTGAGACATGTCTGGCCTGCTGTCAATTGTATTAACTGTCAACTGTCATTTTCGAATTTTGTATTAAAATTATTCAAACAATTTTCGTTTGTATCAGAATTCTTCATTAAAAATATATGCGAAAAGTAGACGAGAGTGAAATCGAAGAGAATGTTCTGGTACTTGCATATCTCCAAGAAGTTTAAAAATGAAGCATCCATCTTTGAGAACAATTTATTTATTCTGCGCTAAGCATGACAATAAACGTGAAACAAAGGTTAGTAAGCAATGGACTGAACACATCTACAACCAATATCACTTATACGTGTCTCGCTGGTTGCATGCAGTTGCATGTATTATGTTCTCAATTCCCATTCCTTTCGAATCATTTTGTAGGTTAGCAGGAATTGCAGGTATGTTAATGTAATTTTCGGAGTTCGTAGAGAAATCATAGTATGTAACGCGTTTATAAACACTTCTAGACACTCGTTTATCAAACACGACTCGCTCCGCTCTGCTCCGCTCGTGCTTTTACTAGAAGGACGTTTATTATAACACTTGTTACATAATATACTATTTCGCACGAGCTCTAATAGATCGTGCGAAGTCAAATTTCAGTGGCAATCTTATCATCATCATCAAATACTGATGAATAAATACCACTCTGAAAATACTGCTAACTTACTCTTTGGTATTGATAATGTGATTATATCTCTCGATTTAGTTGAAATGCTATTACATAAGTTCCATCCATATTTTTCAACTTGCAGAAATACGAATTCGATATAAATTCAATAAGTTAAAAACAGAAAAAAACAAACTTGAACGATCTAACCTCTAAGAATAATTTCATCATCATATTGTTTCGTATTCCATTGGGAATGCACCGATTCATAATTTGGAGAAAACCAACCTAGTGCAAGTGCAAAACTGGTGAAAAAGTAGTGCACCACCAGGTTTACGAATGGAATTTGCTATCAGTTTCATTGTAGGAAATTGGAAAAAGATCATTTGAATTGACCTTATAGCCTTTGGTAACGGATACGTTTTTGTACGTCTTTCAGCGCAGAATTATATGCTCTTCAGCTTCGAAAACTATGATATTTTACGTCCGGTCGTTTGCAGGATATGAGCGGAAAACCGGAAAAACTGTCGACTTTTTCGAAAAAGCACATTTTCTGACGCGAGAAATTTCGATTGACAATTAGGTTGCTTTTTCGATATCAAGTCAAAATAAGGTGATAAAATGAATATTTTATATCGAAAAAATGTCAGTGTAATCGGGACGCATAAAGAGGTAACTTTTCCCCACATTTTGTGAAAGATCAAGAGAAAAAAACAAAAACTTGTCTATTTGAATTTTCCACATACATTTTTTGGTTAACCTACAACTTTGACCATGAACTCTTTTCCATAGGGCATGTATTTTCTCCGGAAATCGAGATAAACCGTTTTTTGCCCTTGAAAACTCACCCTCAACCTCTTCTGAACTCAGATCACCCGCCATTTATTTCACCTTTTTTCTTGAGTTCCATCCGATTATAATTTTTCCTCACTTTATATCGTTTTCAAACTCTTCAGCACTGGTCTATTATACTTACTTATATACAGCGTGTCTCACTTTAAACGGCCCCCTCTCTATATCAGTCTTACAGAGATGCACATCATTATGGACAGTGCCGTGCGTTTTTATTGAACTAAAAGGGGGTCGATTTTCTATAAAATCATATTAGGCATTTTTTTACAGGAAATCTAACCTCATATTATTGTTCCTCATGCTTTCGAACCCCCATATGCAAAAAATCACCTAATTTCTAATTAACAGGATTGGCTTAATTTTTTTCATTTTCAGTCTCGAATAAATAGTGACTTCAAATCAACTACGAATTTTGGAACGTTCAATAGCTCCGGTAGATGGAATATCATGATTTGAAAGGAAAAACGAGTTATACATTTTTATGTTGAACTCACCGTTTCCGAGTAAATAATCATTACGTTCGCAAAAATGCTGTTTAGATGTGCCTGTTTTTCTGAAACTTTTCATAGGCATCTCATGAAAAACAACGTATGTGGGTTTAAACCATGAAGAACAATATTATTAGGTC